CACTTTCACAAACATTTGCTTGACCTGATGTGTTGCCTGAGCCAAAACTGCAATTAATACTAACTTTGAAAACTGTGATTATGATGGTGCCAGTTTGTCTATAAGCCATTCCCCTGAATGCAGAATCTCTCCATCAGCTGAATACACAACCACAGGCGAATTGCTGGCATGTCCTCTGTGAACGATAGTGGAGGTGCTGATGCAGAGAGCATACTGTAAAGTAAAAGAAACCTTTAACATGTTTAAATGTTATATTGAAGTAATGGCAGGAAAAGAAAAATTCTCACCATCAGCATAAAGATGCCGCAGCAATTTCCATTGAAGTGCTGGGGAAAGAATTGTAAAAAGAAAAATGTGTCCTTAAATGAAGAGAGCTGACATGCACCTGCTAGGTTTTTTTTAATTGAATTATTTTGTACCTGATGAGCTTTCAAACTTTCACATTGAAAACATACCTCAAGGTCTCTTCCTGTTTTCAGGATCCAGAGTCAATAAAGGCTGCTACTTTCCTGGCATTGTAGAGAATACACATAACACACAAATCAAATGTTTGCCATTAATAAATAAATTCATGAAGTGGGGATGCAACAATACGTTTTTCAAACCGAGTTTTTGCCGATACCAAGTACCAATGCTGATACTTCTACCACACAGAAAATGTAATGAATCGGACGGCAGGTTTTATTTTTTTTGTGCGTTTGTTACAAATAATAACGGTGAATAAGATTTTTTTATGTATATTAATAGAAATGACCCAAAAATTCTAAATTTGGATGAAAAATAAACATTGTGTCAATCTGTGAAACTTTTACAGATTTTTACATTTGAAGTATCTGTTCATGGTGTTGGTTAACAAAAGATATGGATACGAGTTCATTAGAACAGTATCAGCCCGGATACAAGTATTGGTGCATCCCTATCATGAAGTAGCCTAAGAACGAGGCTGTTTTTAGATGACCTAGCCAAAGAATACACTTGGCCATTGAACAAGGCCAGAACAATTTCTTCAGTGTCAACCTAAATATGGCTCGGTAGAGATCATCTCCAAAACCATCAGGGCGAAGTGAGTCCAGAAAGAGTATCTGTCTCTCAGCTACCAATATAGCCTGAAATAGACATGTTAGCATCATCCATGAGAAGACGACATGTCAGCCTCCATTATTTTCTATCAGATGAAAAAACACAGCGCGAGAAAGAGAAAGGGCACTCACACAGAGCAGATAATGGTCAGCTTCACCTGCCTGCCTGCTCCAAGCTGGAAAAAGCAGGATGTCCTTGCACCTAAAGTTTTCCTACAGGTACAAATTAGTAAAAATGCACACACAGCAGAAAAATCAACAACAAACATACCGGCAAGCAACGCAGCAGGTTGACTTGTGGATCCTTCCAGGTGGCCCCGACGTAGAGGTCAGCAATGTGAACATTTTTTCCCTAAAGGAAACACACACACACACAAAAACCCAAAATCAATACACAACAACCATTCATGGCTTTAACCAAAGAAAA